TAGATGACGGTATCAAGATCGAACTTGACAGAGCATCTAAGGAAAAAAAATTATCTAAAAGAATGCCCCGATCACCCAATAAATGGAGAACAACTAATTCAGGTAGAACGATGGAAGAAGAAGCGACAAAACAAAGAGAAATACCTGCCTATGTCGTCGGCCGGTCGTAGACTCTGGCCGCTTTGCCTCTGCAGCCGCTGCCAGAGTCTAAATGAGAACCGTTCACACGAGTAGGACGTCAAAATGAGCACCGTGCACCGAGCACACGAGTAGCGAGCAGAGCCGCAGAAGCAAAGCGGCCAGAGTCTACGACCGGCCGACGGCATAGGCAGGTATTTCTCTTTGTTTTGTCGCTTCTTCTTCCATCGTTCTACCTGAATTAGTTGTTCTCCATTTATTGGGTGATCGGGGCATTCTTTTAGATAATTTTTTTCCTTAGATGCTCCGTCAAGTTCGATCTTGATACCGTCATGTATCGTGTTGGCGTGTTTTATGGAGAGCCGGAATCGATGGCGTTGATAACTTCGTTTTGGGGTGCAAATGTAAGGCTTCGTTTGGTTATCCGAATGATGCGACATTTGGAACTTCCTCACCAACCAGCAGGACTTTTCTTCTACACAGCTCATTTAAGTCAACCCAAAAAAATAAAACTTCAATGGTGGTCCGGCGGACCAATAAAGTTAGGCGGTGGTCCGACGGAGCTTAGGCCCTTAAGCGGTGGTCCGCGCGCTCGGACCTCGCTGGTATGTTGTTCTCCATATCGATGTAAAAGAAATGTTTTCAGCCTCTAATCTATCGGCTAGGTTTGCCGTTGAATCTCCTTTTCATTATCTAGGTTAGATAATACCCCTTTTCTTTTACATTTAGAACCTGACCATGAGGAAATTCCAAACCATTAAAAGCAGTACCTTGTGACATGACTTCGAGCAGGAGAACCTGCAAGCTCCTAGGTTTTCCGATAAATCCATTAGGCATAGGAGAACCGGCAAGTTGCTATTGACCGCATCAAAGGCGCTCTCTGCTCCCTTTTCTGTCTCTCTTATCACCATCTTCCTTTACTGATGGAATTAAAAGCATAATTTTTGGTATTGTGAATCTGCTCTGTTTTCCGCCAATGAAGGAGGTAGCAATTCACTGGTTTCTTTTTTATTTCAGTTTATGTTACTTTGAACTTCTGTTCTTTCTTGTATATCTAAATGGATTTCTCAATGAATGGAATTAACTGAAGTTAATTTGAGCTATATAGAATATGTATTGCAAGAGTATCACATCTGCCAGATGAAGGTATAGATTATTACCAGATTTTTTGTGCTGATATTCGGTTGAACATTGTGCTAATAATATGAAGGTATAGTTCCTTTCTTCTTAGAAGGAACAAGAATATTGCAAACTGGAGTCGTTAACGGAAGCGGTGTGGAGAAGACGAGCAGCGACGGGGAAGAAGCCTGAGCGGAGTGGAGAAGAGGAGCTGCGGCGTGGAGAATGCTGAGCGGTTTGGAGAAGACGAGTTGCAGCGTAGAGAAATCGACGTCGCTCGATCGGGACGATTCCCGCGCAAAAGACAGGATCGGGTTGACGGAGGTAACGGGAGTGGTATTTTAGGTTACTTATTAGTGTTTTGGGTGGCTGAATAGTAAATATGAAAGTTTTAGTGTTAGATAGGTAAATAGCAAAGTTTTAAGTGTTATGTATGTTAAAACCCCTAAATTTTATTGTAGCACGATCAAATGTATATATACACATGTGCAAGTAGAAAACACAATGACTAAAATACCCTAGATAATTACATAAAGTAAAATGGGTCGTTAGAGTGCAGAGTAAGTGGCGGCAAGCTCTGTCGAGCGGCAGAGCAGAGGTTGACGATCTGTGAGCACACAACTCCTTGGCCTATTGGTTGAGAGCTTAGGTTTCCAACTAAGAGGTCCAAGGTTTGAGTCTGTGTATGCGTTGTGTGTGTGAGTTTGCCTTAAATGGCCTAAATGTCCCAAAAAAAAAATGATCTGTGAGCTGGAATACAGTGGTAGTAGAGCTGAAATACTCTTATCAGATGCTACCACACTTTTTATAAGAACTTGGTGTATCAATCTAATGGATTGATTGCATCGCAATAATTTTGATAGAAATTAAATGAGTTATAATGAAAAGGTCAACTAGAGCTGGAATAAAACCATCATTATAAGTCAAATAAAATCATGTAAACTGAATATAAAACCATTATTATAAGTCAAATAACAAGAATGATGAAATTCAAATCTCAATATAACAATTCAATGATTAGATTAACATCAAGTAAATCTCAATATTTCTTCCTGATCCTTTCAGGGAACCTTACAATCAAGAAATGTATAACACAGATCTTTCAGCCACCAACCAAGCAAACCTAAACAAAGTAATTAAATTTTCACCAACTCCCTCATATGATCACGATTATGTCGAAACATTGCCAAAGGAATCTCAGGAGCCTACACAGTAAACAAATGAATAGCATAACGGAAGACCAACTAGCCAAATTCTAGTAACACCAAAAATAATTCCAGAAGGAAGAACCCAGCTAACAGTTGGAGTAATAAACAACTAAAGAAGCGAAAAAAAAAGCCAAAGAGGGGAGGAGAGGCCTCCTTGATATTGGGCACGAGAAAGGCAGGACACGGTAAAAAGTATCTAGTGAATGAGTGTGGAGGCATGAGTGCCTGCTCGAGCGCCTAAAAGGCAAGGACTTAATTATGCAAGTTTTAAATTCTGCTAAAGAATGCTTGGGTTGTTAGACGTCTTTAGGCCAATATGAGTTCAGATGATTGTATTAGAATAATATAAAGAATAGCATTTGTGAAAAAAATAAGATGACAAAAAATCAACTTAGGTGATGGAATAAATATCATAGTAACTTCGAAGAAAAAGTAATGCCAATCTAAAAGTTTGTATTTGTTGGGAATGCACTGCAGGTGTATTGATTCTTAATTTTTATTTCATAGTTCATTTCAAATATAAAGTATGCCTATGATGTTGATCCAATTGAGAATAAGTTTGATTAACTACTAAATGGGCTCAATTCAATCAACATCATAACCAATGAAAGTTTCACATATTTTTGTTATTGCTATAGTCTGGGATTATTAAAGTCTAGAAAATCCCAGTTCTGTCAAGATTTGTTACAATCTCGTATTGCTATGGTTCCAGATTGCTACAATCCTGGAAATTCCTTCCAAGGCAATGTCTGCTACAATCCTTGATCTTTCATGTCGCCAAATTTTTGCAAACAGTCAAAGTCTTTGGCTTTTATTTACACCAGTGTTAGGACCAGTTAGGTTGTTCTTAATACAACCTCTTACTTTCTTTGAAGAAAAATTCACCTGAAATTTTTGTAATCAAAAGTTGATTCCAAATATTTATGTATTGGGAGAACTGTAACTAGTTATTTTTTATTAGATCATGGAGATATATGAAAATTTCTTATTTTAAATCTTTTGTGGGACAAAAAATAGTTGAACATTGAGCATTAAAATAAAATTTTAATTTTCTTCTTTTTTTCATGTGTGTTTGTTATAGGAGTATTTTTCGAGCGCTTTACAAGTGTTTATTCAAGCACTTCATAGGAGTGATATGCTACGTGTCACCTTTTGGAGTAATGTAAATAAGTTTACTTTATATAAATATATGTCAAATTATTTATAATTTTTCTTTTGTCACTTTTAACTCTATCAAGAACAAAATAAATAGCTTCATTCTATTTCATATCTTATGCAGAGAAAAAGAATTTCAGCCTACGTCTTCTTCGCTTCCGCGGCCGTGCTCGTAGGTTAGTGAGTCTCTCTCTCTCTACCCATAGTTGTTAATACCACAGGATAATTCATAACTGCCTTGCATTAATTATTAACTATTTTATTACAGCATTTTCATACCAGTTAGAGTATTCATTCAACTCCAATCATGTAATGCTTGATATGCCTTGTCCACTATGAAGATGAGGAAGGGTAGGATAAGGCATATTAAGGCTTTTACGGGATTGTGGTAATTTATTTCATGCCATGTGTGTGGATCCATGGTTGGGGTAACCTCCTCAACTTGGCCTAAACTCACCTACGCCAAGTCAACATTAGGATTTGTGGGCGGCCACCGCCGGCTGCTGCTCGAGATGCCTTCTCTCTGTTTCTCACCTCTGCCTTTATTCAAGATCTTCTCTCATCCTATTCTTTTCTACACAAAGTCGTCCCTCAAGTGGGTGATTTATGCTGACTCAGACTTGCTTAGTCATATGTCAGTTTCGAACTAATAGGTGACTTATTTAAAAAAAATATTACTATAATAAGTTGTCTGTTAAACGGATGATTTGCTATATTAAATTTTGAAAAAAAAAGTAAATAAATGAAGTAGGCCTGCTGTAGTGGTAGAAAGAAAGGTTAAACATGTGGTTTCATTACTTTTGGGTAGGTTTTTCGTCAATATTCTAGCCGGCTTAGCATATCCCTCACTGAATTTGATCCGAAAGTGCTTTTATGATCGTAATTTTTTTCCTTAGATGTTCCGACAGGTTCGGTCTTGATGCTATCATCTATCGTGTTGGCGTGTTTTATGGAGACCCGGAGTAGATGGCATTCACGAATTGCTTGCGGGGTGCAAATAATTTGGATCTGAAAGCTCCTTTCAGCTTTCCAGCCTAGTATTATTTCTTGATCTTTAACTGCTCCAAAAATGGCATGGAAGACGGTGCAAGGAACTGCAAGCATGAAACCAACCTAAACGCTTGATGTTGATGTATAATCTACTTTGAAGACCTAGTTGTTTTTTTTTTAAACTAGTTTTATTACCCATAAAAAAAATTTATTTCTTGGCTTTTAAGTGTAGAAGAGATTAAATTAAATTTTTTACAAGAAAATTAAAAACTAGAGGTACAAATTATAATCATTCCGTCACAATTTTTATTGTATGTAATATATTCATAAAAAAATAGTTACATAATTTATTGATCAATTTTTTGTCAAAATGGATCTTAAAAGTATTTTATTTATTTTGAGATGTGTAATATACATTTTAATTGAAATTTTTTATATGTTGAACTCATTTTAAAGCAAATTTAAGAGTGAAGGATCAGTTTGCATAAGAAAATTAGCATTATTTACATAAAAAATAAGATCTAATAATTTTATAATTTATCATCGAAAAATCACCGGAAAATTGTTTGTTAGAAAATTGCGTAGGTAATTGATGTTTTTTCTTGTAGAGTTTAGGCTAGGCCCTCATTTAATAATTTCTGACTCTGCCATTGTAATATAAATATTTTAATAATAAAATTAGTTTTTAAAAATAACAACTATGTCTTCAAGGTAGATTATACGTCAACGTCATGCAGTTTTAGGTAGGTTTGGCCTGTTCTACCTACTTCCATGGTTTTTTTGGCACTCTGACTTCACCGCCGCTTCAGAAAGCAGCTCTCGCCTCTCGCGGCACAAAGGCTATCCTAGTCGTCGCCCTTGCCTCGTCCAGCTGTTGCGTCCGCCGTCCAGCCCTCGTCCAGCTGTTGCGTCCGCCGTCCAGCCCTCGTCAGTCGTCACGACTCACGAGATTCGCTTTTGGCAGATTTCGCAAGATTTGCTTCCACGCTCGACTGCTTCGAGGAAGATTCGTTCAACTGTGACTTGGTAAATTAGTGTTTATGATAGTTTGAGTTTTTTTTTTTGGTAAAATTAGGGTAAAGCCCATTCTATTAAAGAAAAAATACGGCTAAGAGCAGGGGAAAAAACTAAATTTAGTTGCATGTAGAAGTAAAAACATCCAAAAAACAGAGAAGAATCTGTCCGGTCGGGACTAAAAAAAAAAGGATTATGGGTCAATAAAAGGCTTCATCATCGTCCATGACCCAAAAAACCTGCCAAATATTGAGCCTTGACTGAAGCGACCGGGTCAATAAAAGCCAGCCAAATAAATTTTTAAGTTTCTTCTTTTTTCAAGTGTGTTTGTTATAGGAATATTTTTCGAGTGCTTTACAAGTGTTTATTCAAGCGCTTCATAGGAGAGATATGAGAAGTGTCGCCTTTTGGTGTAATGTAAATAAGTTTACTTTATATTAATATATGTCAAATTAGTTATAATTTTATCTCTTTTCATTTTAACTCTATCAAGACTAAATGAATAGCTTCATTCTATTTCATATCTTATGCAGAGAAAAAAAATTTCAGCCTATGTCTTCTTCGCTTCTGCGGCCGTGCTCTTTAGGTTAGTGAGTCTCTCTCTCTCTCCCATAGCTATTAATACTACAGGACAGTTCATAACTGCATTGCATTAATTATTAACTATTTTATTACAGCATTTTCATACCAGCTAGAGTATTCATTCAACTCCAATCATGTAATGCTTGATATGCCTTGTCCACTGTGAAGATGAGGAAGGGGAGGATAAGGCATATTAAGGCTTTTACCGTATTGTGGTCATTTATTTTATGCAATATGTGTGGATCAATGGTTGCGCTCATCTCCAACTTGTCCGGTGTGTCGATCGTCAGTGAGCCTTGTCTGCTATGATGATGAGGAAGGAGAGGATAAGCAATTGAGGTTTTTACTAGGTTGTGGCAACATCCAACTTGTCCGATGTGTTGATTGTCGGTTTTGAAAATTTTGCAGCTATACCCGATAAATTTCTCCCACCAAAATTATCTTATTTCTTATAATATTAGATATTCTAAAATAGTAAAATGTTATATTTTGTTATATTTTTTTTCGAATGATTTTGTGCTAATACAAATATGTCTATATAAAAGCAAGAGAATAAAATTATAATGGAAATGCAATGAAATAGAATATCCTCAATAATAAGGATATATTACATTAATAAATATGATAAATTTTTTACTATAAATATTATGACAATGAATAATTCTAATTATTCCCTATTCGGTCAAGTATTAAAAAATAAAGTTTATTGTCAACGCTAATATTTAGTATAGATAAATTGTGTTAAATTTTAATTTTTGTACTAAAATTTTATTTTAAAAAGCAATAAAAAAGTCGTACCAAATGAAACGTTAGTTAGCTTGTTAAAGTGCTTTCTATGTCAGATTTTTTTTCTTGGAGTATCAAATTGGCATTAAGAAGCTATGCTATCGCCATGATTGTTGATTTGAACTGCTGCTACCTGCATTAACTCAAAATAGAGAGCAAGAAATAAAGTGGTTAAGGATGAGAAAGCTGAAACTTTACTATTCATCTTCCTTGCCTTCCTTAGACATTACATGAGTATGTATATAGCGGTTGGTTAGAGACCAACCGTCCTGATGCTACAGCAGGGATCATACGGTGAGAATTAAATCGTACAGGAAAGCGCAGAGTAAGTGGAGCAGCCACATTATAAGTGAGCCGGCTTGTACATAAGCACAAGTGTGTATCAATTTACCTTATCAGCCTCCCTCAAGGTTAACAATAGGTGAATGTATTGTTATATTGTCCCTTAATAGAGAGTGACGAACAGCACTGAGAGATTTGGTAAAGAGGTCAAACAATTAATCTTGAGAACATATGTGATGCACATAAATGTATTGAGAGCGAATACAGCCTTGTATGAAGTGAAAATCAATGTCAATGTGCTTAGTTATGGCATGGAAAATTGGGTTATTAGCCAAGACGAGAGCTGAAACATTGTCACAGTAGAGTTTGGTTGGTGCATTTTGGAGGAATTTAAAATTATGATTGAAGTCGGCGGAGCCAAATGACATCACAGGTAGTAGTTGATAACATTTGATACTCCGCTTTCGTGGATGATGGAGCAACAAAAAATTTCTTTTAAATAGTCCAAGAGATGAGCATGTTGTCAAGAAAGGCACAGTAGCCCGTGATAAAACGACGATCAATGTGATCAGTGGCTCAGTCGGAATCAGTTAAGCTCGTTAGCACAAGTGAAGAAGGTTGAATTGGTAGCCCAAGAGATAGTGTGCCTTTCACATAGCGTAGAACACGTTTGAGGAGTTGGTACTACAACTGAAGTGGATTGTGCATATGTTGACATAGATAATTAACGCATACAGAAGGCCTGGGCGGGTAATCATTAGGTATTGAAGAGCACCAGTAATTTGTCGATAATGTTCAGGGCGTTCATATGTAGAGTCAGTTACAGATTTGGTAATAAATTTGGAGGGAAGAGGGGTACTAACGGGTTTGCAATCAACCATAGCTGCTTTATGTAAAATATCTGAAGCATATTTTGATTGAGCCACATGAATACCATTAGAGCTATACGTAACTTGCAGTCCAAGTAAATGATTTAAACAACCCAAATTTGTCATGGAGAAGTTGGAGACTAAGGCAGCTAACAACTTATCTATCTCATTCGACGAGTTGCATGTTAGTAAAATATCATCAACGTATACTAAAATGTATAGTTGCACGGAATTTTGATGAAACAACAATAGGGATGAATGGATAGAGCTAGACCAAAATCCATATTGAATGAGATAGGAGGGAAATGTTGAAAACCACTATCGAGGAGCCTGTTTGAGGCCATAAATGGCCTTTTTTAAGAGAAACATAATTTGGAAAATGTTTTTCGATGAAGCCCTGTGGTTGCTTTATATAGACAACTTCTTGAAGAGGTCCATGAAGGAAGGCATTAAAGACATGTAATTGTAGGATTGGCCATCAATTTGTCACTGCAATAGTTAAAAGAAAGTGAATGGTAGGAAATTTTGCTACGGGACTAAAGGTTTCATTGTAATCCAAACCATACTCTTGCTTGAAACCTTGAGCCACAAGTCGAGCCTTGTAGCGGGCTATTGAGCCATTCACATTAAATTTTGTCTTAAAGAGCTTTTACAACCCAATATATTAATATCTGAAGTTGGTGGAACAAGTACCCACGTTTCTTGTTTTTGAAGAGCTTCAAATTCATTACTCATGGGTTCTCGCCAAGCCAAGTGTTGATTAGCTTAAGTAAATCCCGTGGGATTGATAGGTGTGACAATGTTATGCATGTCAAGTATTTGTCCTGGTTTGAGATTGCCTGTTTGTGCCCTTATAACCACGGAATGCCTTGGTAGAGTGGTATATGTGTAGGAATGCTAGTGATAGAATCAGTATTGGGTGGGAGGGTAGTATTGGAAGTGGTGGGAATAGAGCCAGCATTGTGATAGGTGGGACAATGATCATTATGTGATGAGTGTTCTGAATTTATTGGAATAGTTTTATCAGTTGAGGGCATTATAAAGGAGGCAAGCACAAGAGTAGATGGTAGAAAGTTGGTAGGATGATTTGTAGGAGGAGAAGTAACTGTAGTGGAAGATGTCTGTAGAGGGAAAATATTTTCATAAAAACGAACATGTCTTGAGATGTAGACTTTGTTTGAGTAAGATCAATACATTTGTAACATTTGGCTTGAGGAGCATAACTAAGGAAAACTGAGTAGGAAACCATGGGGTGGAGCGAGGAGCAAGTTTGTGAGACAACTAAGTAGGAAACCATGATAACATAGACATCCAAACACACGTAGATATACATAATTTGGGAAATGATTATATAAGAGCTCATACGGTGAAATATTATGGGTGGTTTGGGTAGGTAACTAATTAATTAGATAAATCGCAATAAAGAGTGTATCAACCCAAAATTTTGGTGGTAGATTGGCATTAAAGAGCAATGCCCTCATTGTTTCAAGCAGATGTATATGCTTCTATTATGTGACCCCATTTTGTTTGGGAGAGTAAGGACAAGAAAATCATCGTCCTCTTTCTTATTATTATGTTTCCTGCATGATCAAAATGAAGAAAACTAAACAAGGATAATATGTTTCCTTCATTGCATCATAATTCTCTTTATACTTAAAAATTTCTTCTACTTAACTAATTTAATGCCTAAATTAATCAAATATAAGACATAATTGATTAAATACCTTTTAGGAGATAAATGTGAATTATATTTAAAGAGCATTTAAGATATGGTCCCCAATACACAAAAGCGCACATATTATTCATTTTCGAGAGTTTTTTTGTATAACAATTATGATTTCTTGGAACTTTTATTTTAAAAAAAACTTAAGATATTAATTACATATACAATTATTATAAATTTTATTACATCAGTAGCTGACCCACCCTAATGGCTTCTTCTTGCCTTGTATGCGCTCCCCCCTCTGCAATCATGCAGCTCCCCGGCTTCAAAATCGCTAAACCAATTATATTTTCGATCTCAAATCAAAGAATTCCAGCGAAATCGTCTCGTTCACTGGTCTTAAAAGCTATAAAAGAATGGCACAAGTACGAGGATGCCGTGAGGGAGAAAGTCCTTGCTCGGGTCCTCCGGTTTTTGAAAACCATGGAAACTGTTCCCAATCATCTCCAAACTCCTGCATCCACTTCTCTTCCTTATGCCCCCTCAATCCATTCGTTGCCTTATATGCTGGACCTCCCCATATTGGAATAGGACTGGGAGGTGTTAGACACTTGCATTAACGTCGATGATATGAGGTTGTAAGGAAGCGCTTATGATTTTTTGAAAGATCCCGATCACCTACCAACTACAGTCTTTATGACCACCGGTCTCCTGCCGACTATAATCCTTCTGACCTCCGTCGCCTACTACAATCCTTCCGACCTCCATCACCAAACAACAGTTTTTTAGACCCCTATCCCCTAAAGACTATGGTCCTTTCGACCTCTGTCGTTTACTACGGTCCTTCCTACCTCCATCGTCATACAACATTTTTATGACCCTGGTATCATGTATACTAGGATCTTTCCGGCTTCCATCCTATCGACTATGATCCTACCGACCAAACAAACATATATATATGTGGATTATTGTAACTCTCACCATGTAATGCACTCTATATGATGTACATTTGTGTCATCAAGTCAATGCCTTTTCCTAAGGAAGGACTTCATTTATAATCAATTGCAAATAGTAGTGGATTCATTCAATCTGAGATATGCCCCGTGGTTTTTCCCTCTTTTTAGGGGTTTCAACGTAAAAACTCCAGTGTTTCTTATGAATGCTATGCTATTTCTTTTATCTGCTAGATCTTCGTACAATGCTAAGACATTAAACTATATATTTCTCTATCGCTTCGAATATTCCAGGATGCAACAAATATATATAATTCTAAATTATGATTTATGAGATAGTACATCTAGAAAGCTTTAATGAATAGCTCAGATAAATCCTACAACTCATTCAACAATTAATAAAAAGTAAGTAATGAATATTTGATATTTCTAATTCTCTATTACCATCTAAGGTGGCACTTTGCATTAAGTTTAATTTAGTATCTAGGATATGTTAGATAATATAGTATTTTCTCTTAATCTAAGCTAACACGTATTTCATATTTTGAAGTTTAGCATTTATCACCATCACTGACCATGGACACAAAGGCACAAAGAGGTAACAGTGACAATCCCTAAAAAATTCGTGATGAGTGATGCCAACTAAACCCGCTCGAATTTATGGAATCCTTTAACATCAAAATTGAAAGACCCTAAAATATACAAAGCTCTAAAAAATCGAACAAAAATAATGGAAAAAAATGATGCCCTAACCAGTATATTAAAGGTTCAAAGCCCTCAAATCTCAATGCAAAAGCTGAAAGACTGAAAAACCGAAACCCCGACTGCTTTAAATTGGAAGGAAGAAATCTCTAAACTGAAAGTATGTATAACCCTAAAACCTAAATGGTAGAAGCCAGAAAAGCTTAAATGATAATACCATAAAGGGAAGAGTGCACACAACACACTACAAGATTAAGATATAGGATCCAACGAGAAGCTAAGACATGAGAGCTCTGAGCAGGACTCAAGATTTAGGTGGTGGAGGAGAGGAAGCCATAAAAGAAGAACTAGAGAGTAGAGAGCTAAGAGCATCGAAGACTTAAAAAACTCAAAATGTAATAATGAATAGGATAAACTGCTAAACCTAAATCGAGGGCCCAAGGCATCAACCATTCGAGCGGTTGAGTGGCTGTGACTCACGAATCATGTATGCTTGGCGAAGTGGGTCAAAAATTGAGTTTCTGGATTGACCCGAACCTGACCAAAAAATTGAAATGGGTTGAAAATCCGGACTCAAACCCGAGTCATTCTTAAACCGGGTTGACCTTAACCCGAAAAATCTAGTTCGCGTTTGAGTTAGGTTTTTGTGTCATGTCAATTTTTGACACCCCTATTACCAGCCTCCGCTACCACCTGTCGTGGACCACCTTCGCCACTCCCCAGTACCTGCCTTCACAGCCACCACTACGCCACACCAATGTTGATCGTTAGTCACTACCACATGTCGTTGTCACCCCATTGCCGCCTGCCATCAAATGTAGCCATGCTGCCATTCACCACCACCCGCCCACCTGTCACGACCCGACCCGAGACGAGACGGATCCCGTTCGCACCGGGCCGCGACGGAGAAGCACTAACCAGGATCTAGCTTTGGAATTTGGTTCGGAACGGAATCTTCCAAATTATTTTAAACAAAACAGACTAACACAGAGCTACTAAAAACATCAAATGCAACAGAACAAAACATCTATCATTTCTTTTCCTCAAAACAATCATTTACAAATACAGTACATGGCTTTTGGACAGAAAGAAAGACAGAACAAAAAAGCCATTACTGTACAAAAATCAAAAGTACAAAAGTACCTATACTGATCAGACTCTGAAATCTATTCCTGAACTTCCTTCCCTTTCCCAGAACCTGAAAACCACCAGAAAGCAAGGGTGAGCTCAACAGCTCAGCAAAGTAACAAATCTCTAATCAAAATCCTCAGAATCTCAAAACCAACACAATCAGACAAATCCGTACAGAAATCAAAATAGAATCGGACAGATATCAAATCGGACAGAACTGTACGGAAACAGAAGTCGTATCAAATCAGAAACAGAACAGATTAGACATATCAGATCAACAGAATCAGAATCGTACAGATCATATCGGAACAGAACAAAATCATATCATAATCATATATCAGATATCAGATATTTAATTAATAGCTAAATGTGCCCCCGGCACCAGAACAATAGCTGAGTAATTAATAGCTAAATGTGCTCACGGCACCAGAACAGATGTGCTTACAGCACCAGAACTTATAGCACCATAATACATAAATAGTGCTTATAGCACCTAAACATATTTTCCTCGGATCCGGAACAGAACAGATATCAAAATGTATATTGAGCTCATTTCAGAATTCCCATTTCACTAACTGAATCTCATAGGATCCAGGCCCCTTATAACTCCCTTTTTATAGCATATACAGATAGCATATCAAATCAGAAGAATTTCGGACAAATCAGAAATTACCCAAAAATCGGGCAGCACAACGGCAGTATACAGAATTTACACAATTTTCATGAAAATCAAAATTCACCAAATTTGCACAGAATACAGATATCAACATTTCAAAACATTTATTCTACTGCACAGAGAATTTCCAAGTTCACAGAAAAATCCAGTCGACTAAAAATACAGTCGAATCAAAAATACCCGGACAAAAATCTTCAGAAAATAACCAAAATGTGCACACTCGGCACGTCAACAATATACAGAAACTTACGCGGTAAAAACTGAACCAATCAAAAGATACGGACGAAAATCACGAACAAAAATCAATTCCGGACAGATAATACCGCCAAACTCGACGGTTCTGAAAATTGAGAAAGGTGGAATGTGCCTTACCTCGCGCACAGCAATTTCCTCAACAGTCTCTTCGAACGAAAACGGCTCCGCGTCTTCTCGAAATCAACTTTTCCTTTTTCCTCTTTTTCTCTTTTCTCTCGGATCGAAAATCAGATATTTTATAAAATTTTTCTCTCTTCAAATGACTGATTTTCCTTAAATCATACACAGATCAACCTGCCCGATCGTCTCGATCGTCCTGGACGATCGGACCAAACAATATCATCCTGGCCGATACTCTAGGACGATGATCCGGCCGATACTTATGAACAGTGCAATCGGCCTGGCCGAAGTCCTCAATCGGCCTGGACGATACCTCAGGAAATCATCTGGAGCAAATCTGGGCAAATTCTGGAGCAGTTTCTCAACTGATCGTCCCAGGACGATCCCAGATCGTCCTGGACGATCCTGGAGCAGATCTTGATATTACACCACCAACCCTTACCACTAGGCTCACCGTCGTCATCATATTTGGACTATACATTATAATTATTTTACTTTAAATTAAATAAAAAAAAATTCACTTGTATTTATTTTATACTTATCCAAAGAACACTCAAAATAGTTCTTTTACACTATTCTTTTTACGCTGCATTCCTTTTACATTGCATTCATTTTTTAGTAAACCAAATAGCCCCTAAATATTATTATTATCAAAGAAACCTCAAATCAAATAACTAGATTAGCTTATCAAGGTGGCAAGTGTATCAAACCAATATATTGTTAGTCTATGTGGAGTCTGATTGCAGAGATCAATCAAATTATGTTATTGCCTCGAACCTTAAGTCAATTTCTTGATTTCCCCAGGGGGGGGGGGTACCCTCTGCTTGGGTCCAAGTGTTTTGTACCCAAAAAAATTCCCCCTTACAATTCCCTGGCGTTGTGTACCTAAGTTCTTTGACGCTGTGTTCCCAAGCATCCCAATATTGGCCAACAAAGAGTAAAGCATCGCAACGCTGTGTGTTTGAATGCCACATCATCATCAGACAGAGGCTTGAGCGCCACACAACTCAAAATTGGCTTTGTTGCGCTTCGATGCGTACTGAACATTTTTCTTTCTCATTTTTTTCTCAAGGGGCATTAACTTGACTTTCTATTGTATTGTGAGTGGTTAGAATAATAAAGAGTGGGAATAGTGCATGTAAGAAAACAAAGGAGGGAGTGAGAGAGAAGAGAGATATGAGCTTATTTCCCCCAATTTTCATAGCAAATTTCTTCGTATGGTGTGGCTTCGTGGGTTTTTTCCTAGATTAAAATTTTCTTTGTTAAAACCTAGTGTCCTTTGTTTACTGCTGCTTTTACTTTATTGTTTATTTTATTGCGATGTGTTATTTCCATCCCCAACATATATAAATATTGATAAAATTAAAATAATGCAAAAAAACCTTAAAATGAACAAATAAAATCAAAATATTTCTTAAATCAATTAAACTGACAGGGCTGATTATTACAATTGTTGCGTCTTAGAGTATTCATGGCGGTAGAGAAATATAAAGTTTAATGTCTTAGCGTTGTACAAAGATCTAGCATACACACATATAAAGAGAGAGGGTCTATCATTTATCAGACATCAAGATTTTTACGTGGAAAACCCCTGAAAAGAGGAAAAATATTACGAGGCCCAGCCCAGTTTGAATGAATCCACTAGTATTGCAGTTGATTACAAATGAGGCCATTCCATTTGGGGAAGGCCTTAACTTGATGTACATCTTATAGAGTAAATTATATGATGAGAATATAAAGAGTCTCTACTGATGTGTTTGTTTGGTCTGAAGGACTGTAGTCGGTTGGCGACGTAAGTCGGAACGACCATAGTCGACAAGCGACGGAGGTTGGGGGGACTATAGTTGGTTGGCAATGTACGTCTGGAGAACCATAGTCGGCGGGTGACGTAAGTTAACAGGACATTAGTCGGCGGGCGATGGAGGTCTGAAGGACTGTAGTCTGACGACGGAGGTTAGAGAACGACGTCAGTTAGAAGTCCAGCAATGGACAGAAATCCAACCTTGGATAGATGTCTATTGAAAGTACGATAACTTGTACGAGTCCGGTGTCGGGTAGAAGTCCGACGTCACTTGGAGTTTGAGTGAAACTCTAGCTTCACTTAGAGTTAGGGCAAAATTTTGGCGTCACTTGGAGGTAGTGCGGAATTCCGGCGTCACTTGGAGTTTCGGTGAAACTCCGGCGTTACTTTGGCAAAATTTTGGCGTCACTTGAGCGTTGGGCAGAATTCTGGCATCACTCGGGTGTCAGGCAGAATTTCGGCAGTGGTCATGAAGGAGTTTCTTCCCTCAAATTCTTCTCCTATTCTCCTCTTCTTCTTGCTTTTGTTTGAGTCCCCTCTCAAGAGAAATAAGGGGTCTATTTATAAATATTTTGGAGTAGCATGACCTATAAATAAATGAGAGATCAGGGGCAAATATGGAGTGGTTCGGATGGACGACTGATATTGAATCCTTTGATCATGGACGGTTTATCAGATATTTCAAGGTCTTAATAATGTCAGAATTCGACAATCTTGGGCTCGTTGGATTTGAATCGTCAAGCCGCTCGATTTGATTATAATCACGTTATGTTTGGAAACGGTTTGGTAACTCAAATTGTGGTTCGAACTTTCCAACAGCGCTTCAGGTCCTTGATTCAGACCCATTTGGGCTCAGATTGTGTTAAATTTTGTGTCGTTGGGTTTGTATTTCCGAGACGCTCAGTTTGACTTTAAGTTTGCTGAAATCGGAGTTCAGATGTTCTTGGATTTAATTTTTGAAGTTTCTGGCTTGATTTGCCCGATCAAGATAATTTTTTGATGATATATCAACGATGTTGAATCAAATGCTGGCCCTGGATGCGTCACAAGAGCAACCTGAGTTATCTACTTTATAATGACAAGGAAAAATGCTCTAACTAAGGGTCATTAACAAGAGCTCTATCTAGTTTAATATGAAAGAGATTCCTATTTTGTTGATTAAATCAAATATAAAAAAGACCTGTAGAGATAAGATCATGAATAATAATATTGATAATGAAATTATTAAAATCACAAAACTTGCTATTATGAATAATATTTTTCCCAGCATTCTTATTATTAAAGTAGCTGAAAATCTAAAAATAAAAAAACGACCTAGGATAAATTAACATTAGCAGACATTTTGATGGGAAGTTACGACGGGAGCTTGGTCGGTGTGGAACAATTATTACGTCCTCCGAGTGGACGTAGAGCTACGTCCGGTCGGAGCTAAAATCATGCCAAAAAATGAGAAATACCTAGCAATATCAAACAATAACGAGGAATACCATCACGTGAAGATCCAATACCGAGTTATACAAAGCTATACCGAGAAATCTCGGTATTTTTTTATATAACTCGGTATTGCTCGGTATAGCTCGGTATAACTCGGTGTTGGGTCTTCACATGATGGTATTCCTCATTATTATCAAATAATACCTAACAATACCGAACAAATACCAAATTTTTTGAGGGGACGTTCTTTAAGTACGACCAAATAAAAGTTCCTCGGTATAAACTTTCTTCCTTTAGCGCGCTTCTTCGGCCAAATCCCGTAAATCCGCCGATAGGATTTCGGAAATCCCGGATTTCCTACGAATAGGGGTAATTTTCCGTGCAGCTTTCAAGATTTTGTTTTACATTTTAGGCGGTTTGGCTGGATTTCGCTCAAATCCGCATAAAGCTTGCTACCAAACAGCCCCTAAACATTATCCTCTTCGTGCACAGCATGGCAGAATCCGAGCACGGCATCCTCAAATCCGTCGAACTACGCCTTCTTCGCTGCACCATCTCTCTTGCGATCTCCCTCTTCCTTCATGTTCTCCATATTCCAACCCGGAAAACACTCTCGATCCTCTAACATATGACGCACCCGGTGCCATCGAACGTGGGGATTACGCGGCGGCACTCTCATCAGACGCTGCCCGTCTTGTTTTCAGCTTTGCGAATTCCTGTGAGTTCGACGACTCAACCACTTCCGCCGCGCTTTTCTACAGCCAAGTAGAAAGGAGCATCGACGCTTTCTTTGCGACGGTGCCTCCGAGGAACCCTGGCTGCGAGTTCTCGACGCGAGGGTTGATGCCAACACGGAGTATAGGGTTGCGGTGGTGCTTTGTCTTGGAGTTGCAGCCCTTCTCGCTTTCCTGCAACAGAATGTGCCGGGTGAGTATCACTGGCCGGTTCCATGCCCTTCTATGGTTGCTTGACTTTAGAAAACATGTTTTGTAGAATGGTGGGTTTACTAGGTTCCGTCATTTGGCTTGAAGCATTCGGAAGTTAATATAGATTTTTATTGACTGCTATGATATTGTATAGGGTGTTTTATTATGTAGAGTTACATGAATATTCAACAAACATGCATATCAGTAAATTGAGGCTTAGAAAGTGACATATTGTATAAAGTGCATTACATGGTAGTAGTTCTTAAGAGAATGTTGACATATTTATTTGATTAGTAGGATGGTAGTCGGCAGGCAACGTTGTTTAAAAGGACTGTATTCGACAGGTGACAGTGGTCGGAAGGACCGTAGTCGGCTGATGACGTTGATTGGAAGGACTGTAGTTGGCGGGCAATGATGGTTAGAAGGACTGTAGTCAGTGGACGATGATGATCGAAAGAACCGGAGTTGACGAGCAACGGAGGTCGAAAGGACCGTAATCGGTGGGTAATGGTGGTTGGAAGACTGTAGTCAGAGGGCGACAGTGGTCGGAAGGACAATAATCAGTTAGCGGCTGTTGTCAGAAATAATTGTAGTTGGTGTGCGACAATGGTTGGAAGGACAATACTAAATAAAGAGTACAACCACCGTCTGAGGCTTAAGCCTCAGTTCGCTCGACCTCCGCCTCGGTTCGAGCCTTGCACATATCGTTCTCAAAGTCGTGGGCCATTTGTCATAAAGCGTACAAGTGTATCATGTAATATACCGAGAAGTGTGCAAGCTCACTAAATATCGTGCAAGTGAATCATACATGTTTCTACAAAATGTGCAAGTTTGTCATGTAAGTGCACTATGCAAATGTATAGAAAAATATATAACTGTGTCACACAATGTATTGAAAAACACATGAGTGTATTGTGCAAATGCATAAAAAATCATGCAATTACACTGTGCAAATGCACCAAAAGGTGTGTAAGTATATCAAGTAAACACATTGAAAAATGAGCGAGTATATTGTATAAATGCATAAAAAATGTGCAAGTGTATTATGTAAATGTATTGAAAAGTGTGCAAGCATAGTATGAAAATGCATCAAGAAGCATGCAGATGTTGAAACCTTTGAAATTGAATTCACCCACATGGCCACATGTGCTTTGGTGTCCAAATTTAGATTTCAGACTATCATGTGGGCTAAAGATAAAGATAAACTCAAGTTAACCTCACTCTGAAAAATGCAATAAATTTAAAATTTCCAAAACTATTTTCAATAAAAAGAAATGAAATCCACCAACTAACATTTATGCCCTCTTTTTAACTCAAATACAAAAGCCTTTAGAAGTATGCAACTATCTCTAGAAGCGTACAATTGCTCGAGAAACATAAAACTACTTTAAGAAGTGTACAATTTCTTCAATAAGCATGCTAATAATAAAGTGTTGCAATAAAACTTGAAAAATATCATTTATATATCCTCTAAAATCACGCCAAATCAGTAAAAGTAAGTTGTAATCTTGTGGTAAAAAAATGTGCTAAATGCTTGAACAGTTGAACGTAATATTTGAGGATGCCGTGCCGAATAAAAATAAGTTGAAATCAAATTTATTCAACTTCGATAATCATGCAACTATTCCAAAATGCAGACAATCATTTTGCAACTTCACAAAGTCTCTTTTTACAATTAAATTTATTATCATAAATGCATTATGCACTCGAGTTGGAAGCCTTATCTATAGGGTAGGGTCGTAAGTCTCACATTTTTGTTTTGATTCTCCTGCTAGTAAGTATTGAAGTCTCCAAGGTTTCAATAATTTGGCAAGTATCTACTCAATTTTACAATATAAGATATTTTTTATTTCTACACTTAAGTATTTTATATGCATTCTAAGTATCTAATGCTCTGATGTGACTTCTAATTATCCCATCAAATTAGAACTCTCCACATCGATGACCATCGCCGTATGTTGAACAAAACCTTTCTCGACTATGGTAAATGGCTCCAAAGATTCATAGCGATCATAAACTTCATTAATCTCTTGACGATCCTGATCTAACCATCTTTTATCATGCCTCTCTTCAGATAGTATATTGTGTGGTCAAACCTTTTTCTACTCAAAACCTTGAGGGTTAATCAGTTGTTATTTCTATGCCGACTTATTTTTCACCAATCCGATTTGATTAAACCCAATGTTCTCATGGGATTAAACATCTTGTTTTGCTTCCATTTCAACTCAATTTGCCTATTAATTAGGCTTTGCTTTTTTGTTTTTTCAAGTTTTATTTTTATTATTATTATTTTTATTGTTATTATATGTTCACATAGACTGGTTTTCTACTAACCTTGGTTCTAACTCGCTTGATGCTCTATTTAATGTGATAGGCCTGTTGGAAAGTTTTCTTATTTCCCTCTGCCATTCGGCTGTTTTGGGGAATTTGGGAACGTTGGAAATGGTGCAGAATGCGATTCATGGGCTCGGAATCAACTTCCATCTGTTGGCTGTGATCTGCTGGGGAAATTTTACTTTTTGCAGGTTTGTGCTTTTAATTATGATAGTAGAAGTGTTACCTGGAGCGGCTACACATGCTATTGTCTAATGCTGCTAAATAATTTTACTTTTGTGCCTTATTTCTACATTTAACCTTATATGTTAAAGGTGCATGTGCTTTTCCGTGGTCATTGTTGTATAATGTAAGGCACACCTTGGCCCTTTTTTTCGATGTAAATTACACAAGGCATAGGGGTAATTTATAAGAGCTTTTAAACCATCCCATGTGTCTTAAATAAAGGGTCATACCAAGCAATTTAAAGAAACGTAATGTAGTGGAGAACAATCTAACAGCGCCTTTAGTATAAACAAAATAAAGTGGAAGATGAGCATGGAGTGAAGCGTTTTAGGAAAGGGTTGAGTGTGTTAAACATTATGCATTAAGACACAGAAGAAATCAGGGTAATAAAATAGTATGTTGAGGAAGTAATGTATAGAGCACAATTACACTGATGCGCCAGAAGTAAAAAACAATTCTATTTTTTCATCGCTTAATAGTTCACCTAACTGCTGCTCCAACCAAAAATACAGAGATTAGACACAAAAGAAAGCTGGAGCAGGCTTTTTTTTTTCTTGGCGCTCAAGTTTCAACTGCGTGGACTCAAAAAAAATCCACACAAGGATCTTCTTTGATAAGTGCTTTACTTTGACTGTTTATTTTCTTTATGCATTGAAGTACAAGATCAATTGT